CCGCCACTTCCTTCACGATAAATTTCTTGTTGACGATGAATCCTTGCAGATCCACGAACGTTGGCACGGACATGTTGTCGAGAAGACTGCGATCGATTGCGGCGTATCGTAGATTTTATATCGTGTCGGAGGTTGCGCTTAGGTGATTTTGCGCACAACTTTGGTCAATGGATTATACTGAACCACGCGATCGTGTATGATGAGACAATAGGCTGTCGTATTCGCAGGCACGTTCTCCTTACATTCAAAGTCTAATCGTACGTCGACGGTGCCACTCTTGATCGATTCGTTCTGTCGCGAGCAATCGATGATCACGAACGGACCATTACGTACAAAAGTCGTAAAGGTGAGATTTGGCTCGAGATACTCGTATCCGTAGTAGCCCTTGCAGAAACGCGCGTAGGGAGAGTGGTGTCGGTTGTAACAAAAAAAATATTTTTGCAGCTAACCAATTTATTATAAATAAGAAAAAATTGAAATTTTTTATGAAAACAAATATATCCTTTGGCATTAATTTCAACTTAATAGATATTTAAAAAAGTAACAAATTATAAATGATATTTATCATTAATGGCATCGCCGCAACTTGTTACAATTGACACCGCGGTGGTGTCAATTGTATCACCCCAGGGTGTTGATTGTAACACAAAAACATTTTGTGAATATATCCATATGAAAATCAACACTATGCTAATAAACAATATTGAAAAAATACAAAAAAATAAAACCGAAACATCAGTCTTTCCTCTGTTGGTTTTTCGAGGTCTTGGTTTCACCATTTTGAAAATGTGTCTTCTCTAAAACCGAAAACATAGATACAATATCAAATAGTTGTCAAAACTGTGATAATTGCATCTTCACAACTGATAATTCAAACTATAATACGATTATAACATGTTACACAAATTATTTTCTATATAATTTTTGTTTTTACAGCAGAGAATTTGTTTTTAAAGCAATGAATTTATGTTTATAAAATAGAAAATTTGTGTAACCCTTTATACCATCGATGTGACAGATTTCATAACCTAACAACAGTTAACTTTAATGATTAATATCTCACTTCGTGGGACTGAG